AGAACAAGGCCAAAGTATATTTCCTAACTATTCTAAAAAGCTTGTGTTGTTACTATAGGCATACTACCTCATATGCTTTCAGTCTGGGGTGTTTTCAAAAAGATATAATCAACCAAGAAAAAGTAAGGTAGATGTGAAAAATGTCTTTGAAGCTATTTCAGTTGCTACTGTTAGAAAACGTTTGAATTTAAACTCTACTAGGTATAAAATAAGCTTATAGAAAATACTAGTTTTGGAATCTGAATCAATGACCCAGAAATAAATCTTGGAGAGGGATAAGTGAAATTCTAAAACAGTGGAATCAAAGAATATCAAACTATTATTTCCAAATGGTTTGTAAAAATAATGTTTCTGGGTTACAATGTGAAAACAGGTACACTTTAAATCTCCAGGTATTAATAATACACTGGCATTTTGTAACATAATGCTAGTCAGTTAAGGAGTGAATTTCCTTCAAAGGGGTTTATTACTTGAAGTGACTGAAGGATCTTGTTTTACAGTCTCCCCAGTAACACAAACTCCTCCCTTTTCAGGGTCTTTGCTATCTGGTACCTACTTCCGCCACTTTTCTGAAGTTACTTAAAGGTCAACATTTTGTCCTTCTCCTAAACAAAATCAAACTCAGACCTCTCATTTCTTAACTTTTCTGTTCTTGTCATCTTAAAACACTGTCTTCCCTTTGTTTCTATGAAACTAAGTTCCTAGTTCTCTTTTGACATTGCTTTTCTGGCTTTCCTCCTAACCACTGACATCCTCTAAAGTCTCTGCCTATTACGATTCTGTTTCTAATCATCCATTTATACTAATATGACATCATGATTCCCTACTCACCTAGGCTCTCCGTCCTTGGAACTAACCTTGACAATTCTCTTCACATTGCTTCCCAATATCCAATAAGCTACTGAGGCTACCTGATTCTGTGTTAAGATCTGACCTTCCCTTTCTAAGATTTGACTTTGCCCTCACATGTTTACCTCCTTTTTACCCTAGAAATAAGACCTCATCAAGCAAGCCTTGGTCAGTTACTTAGTTCTCTGGTATCTGCTGCAGCCTGCAAACAGATGAAGACCTTTCTCATCATGTCCCTTCCTTGCCCAAGAATCAGTATATGCCCTGCTGAACCCAATCCCAATGGCCCTTACCTGCAATGTCATTCCCTTTTGCAAGCTGCTGTGGTTTGTGTCCCCTAAATTTCATGTGTTAGAAACTGAATCACCAAATTCATAAACTGACTGGAAATGGGGGTCTTTGGGAGGTAATTAGGACTACATAAGATCATCAGGGTGGGGACTCCATGAGCAGGCTGATGGCTTTATAAAAAGAGGAAGAGAGACCTGAGCTGACATACACACTCTTGCCATCTCTCCATATGATGCTTTCTGCCATGTTATGATGCAGCAAGATGGTCCTCCCCAGATGCTGGTGCCATGTTCTTGGACTACCCAGCCTCTAGAACTGTAAGAAATAAATTTCTTTTCTTTATAAATTTCCAAGTCTCAGGTATTCAGTTATAGCAACAAAAAACAGACTAAGTCACAAACCCAGATTTAAGTCTTTGTCCAAAACTCAACATGAAATTCCTTTTTGGATGAATCTTTCCTGACCTCATCTCCTCCCACAGTGAACTTTAGTTTCCTCAGCAGTCACATCTGGATCACACTCTCTCACACTTGCTGCAACTAAAAGCCAGTTCTTAGAGAAACCATGGTATGGCAGGACCAGCAGAAGGGTATCCATAAATGTTTGCTAAATTGAATTGAATTATACTGTAGCTCTGCCAAAGTTCACTTTTAATTATATAAAGATAGAAAGAAAATAGAAAGCACATCCTGTTTCAACTGCAACAGTTATTACTTTAATTTCTTCAACAGTAATAACAGAAACAGATATTAAGAGCATTTTTAAATTAGAAAAATCACTGCAACAAAATCTTTTAAACATTTTTGTTAGTTTTCTTGCCTCCAACACTTTTGATAGATTTTATCACTCTGAATATAGAGGAGTTTTTTGGCATCTGAGGAGCTGAGGATTGATGACAATGGGCAGTCTCACACATGTGAAGGATGAATTGTGTCCAGAAAACTGTGGGTCAGAGAGATATTTTCCAAATGGGAAATGAATTCTGACAGGAAGCTACCTGGTGGGAAATGAAGGATGACTTTGAAAAGCTAGTAATCATGATCAAATTTGAGTTGTGTTGCCTAGTCTGAAATACACTCATGAAATTACAATACATAAGTTGTTCTGAAAAGAACTTAATTATGCAGAAGAGGAACAAACAATCTTATAAAATTTGAGCATTCGCATCATCAAACATGTTAATGTATCGTAGATAACAAGTCTGTCTTACAAAATAACTGATGTCCAAGAGCACTTTAGTAGGTTTCTAAATCTTACCTCCTGGAGGAGGTAAGACGAAGTTAGCTCTGGGCTAGATAAAACTAGCAGGAAGCTGCTATAAGAAGATATTGTTCAAAATCATATGTAAAATTAAAATTATACCTAAGTACTTACATCTAATTTCCTCTGCATTATCTCCTTCTACTTATATGTTAAATGTTTCCATACATTTACTGAGCATTAAATGTGCATCTTCCCTGTGCCAAGCACCATCCAAAGCTCCAGGGAGCTAATAATCTCTGTCTAAAAGGAATTCACAGCCAACTAGGGGAGTTCACAGGTTTGGTGGGAAAAACAAATGAAGAGTAAAGGATAGGAAATAACTAAAAGGGAAGAAATCATATGAAATGGAAAATTTTAGGTTTAATCCTAAATTTATTAAACTAAGAATAATCCAACAACTCAATGTTAAAGAAAGCCGGCTAAGAACTCTGCCAACTTGATGATAGTTGGATTCAGTTTTCTGAAATTCTCACATCTGAATGGGTCAAGCTAAAAGACAACAGCGAGTAATAGTTCTGAACATACTAAGACGCTGCAAAATAATCACTATGTAGAACAATCTTTTGGCTTCCCTGAGTAACACTGGAAGAATTGTCTTGGGCCACACAGAAAACACACTAACAATAGCTGATGAGCTTAAAAAAAATCTCATAGCGTTTTTAAAAAGTTTACAAATCTATGTTGGGCCACACTCAAGGCTGTCCTGGTCACCGAAGATGCGGGTTGGATAAGTTTGATATAGATGTAACAACTTTAAGCTATTTAGCTAAATAAGAAGTTGTCCCAATATTTCCGAAGTTATATAATTACTGATACTTTCCTAATACCTTAATTATAATCTAATACTTTCAACATTACAAAAGAAATTTAGAATTACATTATATCATTATAAAACAATTCCGAAATAATAGGAAATCATTACAGAAACTTTGGACAATACACAAGTGGTCAGAAGTGATCTATATGACCAACTCATAACAATTCTACAGGAAATATTACACAATAAAGAAAATCTTGGAATTATGCAACACGCTCTATAATTTCAAGAAAAATAAAATGAAATGCAATTGCAAAAGCAAACCTGTTTGACCACCTGGGACGTTTTCCCCTTCCCTGCCAACATCTGAGCCTCCCCCATCCTCTGCAGGCGTTCTCCTCTCACCCCAGCAATTGTTCCCCCTTTTCTGAACTCACTGTTGGTTTGCCTGCTGCCACTAGGCAGTGAATGAACTGCTACTTTTTATTTTCCATGTATTTGCTTTTCTTCCCAAAGAGATCATATGCTGTTCCCCGAAGAAAGGAAGTGTGCCTTGTACCTCTCTGTATCCACAGCAATGGGGATGTGCCTTGCACATAATAAATGTTTGTTTATGGGGATGCATATGCTCATTTTATGTTCATATATCTGTGAATATTAATGAATACAGTTGATCGAGAAAAAAAAGACCTAGAATAAAAAATTGAAAACGCTACACATTTTGTCTGATTTTGAAGTATTTCTGAAGAATTCAATATACCCTGCACTACTTAAGTAAAAGCTAAAAAAAATTCCAATATTTTTAAAGCTGAAAATTCACATATTATGAATTTTTAAAGCTCTTTAAACTTAGATAAGATAGAGAACAAAAGATCACCAAACTTTTACTTAACCAGTAACCCTCAAATGCATCTTCTTCCACTTCTCTCAAGCTTGTTTATAAAATTATTCTAATACAACCAAAGAGGAACACTATTTAATTTTTAAATAACTAGTTCTAAATAATGCATAATTGTTCTAAACAAATAGAATCTACATCTTTATTGAATTCTATCCCCAACACCCACACACTTAGCCTATTTTAAATGTCCCAGACTACCAAGCTCAAATGCACGTCCTTTAACACAGAAATATGTCAGAGGCAAAAATAACTGCATAACCAAGCCATACTAACAAATTAGTGATTGTATGAATGAGTGTCATAGGCAAGACTAGTACAGGAAGCACAGGCTTCAGGAACTGTTGGATGGCCCGACAGTCTGCCCTAAAAACAACTCCTCTCCCATCTGTTCGCTGATGCCCACACTTCTTTCTCCTTTTCCCTTTTCTTTCCTTTTTCCTTTACTTTCCCTTCCCTTTCCTTTCTTTTTCTCAGATGGAGTCTCACTCTGTTGCTCAGGCTGGAGTACAGTTGTGCAATTATGGCTCACTGTAGCCTTGACCTCCTGGGCTCAATTGATCCTCCCACCTCAGCCTCCCAAGTAGTAGCTGGGACTACAGGTGCACATCAACATGCCCAGATAATTTTTGTTTTTGTTTTTTGGGTTTTTTTTTTTTTTTTTTTTTTTGTGGAGACAGGGTTTTTCCATACTGCCCAGGCTGATCTCAAACTCCTGGCCTCCAGTGATCTGCCTGCCTTGGCCTCCCAAAGTGCTGGGATTACAGGCATGAGCCACCATGTCCAGCCAATTCCTTTAATATTAAACAGACATAAGGCTTAAATTACAGATGTCCCTATGCTATCAGTGTTGTTTGGTGCTTCCCTAGAGCTGACTCGACCTTGTGCCCATTCTTGGTCTCCAGGGTCCCTGTGATTTGGGAGGCAAGGATCCTACCCACAGCTCCAAAGGTTATGTTCTGCCAATCAGCAGGATGCCCCCAGTGACTAGTTCTCAGATTATTAGATACTCCTGGCCCTAATAATTGGCTCAGGGGTATCCCACAACCTTAGAGAGAAGCCGAGGGCTTCTGGTCATCCTGAGTAGAGCAGCACTTCCAGCTCAGGTTGGTGAGGTTATGGGTGTGAGATGGGAGCCACTGCAGTCCGTGCGGCATCCTTGGGGGGAGTCAGTCCAAGATCACAACCGACAGGGGGCAGGCTGAAAGAGCACAAGAGACCTGTGGCCAAGGGCCAATCAAATTATACCAAGCCAATCCCACTATTACATGGCTCTGTTGCGAGATTCAACAAATTCCTTTTATCACTATAAGCAGCTGGGGTTACAATCAGCCACATGTTATATCCTGGGACAAGGCAACAGACTGATTCAAGATTGCATCATAAAGTTCACATAAGTCGCATCTGACAGAGCCTCCCTTGAAATCAGGTGTTGATTTAGAGACTTACATCTGAGTCCTGGGCATCTGAAGATGAAAGAGATGCTGGGGGAGAGGACAGATATGTTATTTGAAAAGGATGGCTGGAGGTCTAAAAAAATTTTATTTTTATTTTTATTTTTGAGATAGGGTCCAATGCCCAGGCTGGAGTGCAGTGGCACAATCACAGCTCATTGCAGCCTCAACCTCCCAAGCTCAAGTGATCCTCCCATATTGGCTTCCAGAGTAGCTGAGACAACAGATATACAGATATATACCACCATGTCTGGCTTTTTTTTTTTTTTTTTTTGAGATGGATCCTTGCTCTGTCACCCAGCCTGGAGTGCAGTGGTGCAATCTTGGCTCTCTGTGGCCTCCAGCTCCTAGGTCCATGTGATTCTCCTGCCTCAGACTCCCAAGTAGATGGGATTATAGGTGTCCACCACCATGGCCAGCTAAATTTTGTATTTTTTTTTTAAGTACGGATGGGGTTTCACCATGTTGGCCAGGCTGGTCTCAAACTCTTGACCTCAAATGATCTGCCTATCTCAGCCTCCCAAAGTGTTGGGATTATAGGCGTGAGCCACAGCGTCCAGCCTGAGATAGAGTTTTGCCATGTTGCCCAGGCTGGTCTCAAACTCCTGAGCTCAAACGATCTGCCCTGCCTTAGCCTTCCAAACTGCTGGGATTACAAGCATGAGTCACCATGCCTGGCATGACAAAATTTTTAAATATTATGCAGTAATTTTGTCTGATCCTGCTTGGCTGTCAGAAGATCCATGTTTTAAAGGACGTGAAGTTCAATGATAGGATTTTAGACACTGTTAGGGATGGCTGGAAAGACATTTTTGGGCAGGGGCCCTTCTGGCCATCCGTAAATGATGCTGTGTGGCAACCACCCCTTCTGCTCCCTTTAGATCTCAACTGCCCTCACCAGTAATAGATTCCCTTCTCCAAGTCCCAATTATACGCATGGTCAGGGCCACACGGTAGAACCTGTTGCTCCCCTGCTTAAATTCCTAAAGTCAGACCTCACACCTTTCAGGTTCCACCCCAACAACGTGGCCTTGGAAGCCTGTGGGACAAAGCTGACTCCCGGCCTCTCCAAGGCCCCCCTCCAGCACCTACAGGTTTTCCCTCTTCAAGACTCACCAGCAACTTCTCAAAGGCACCGAGAGGGTTTCCTCCCCAGGGCCTTGCACACCACATATCTTGCCTGAAATGCTCTTCCATGCCCTAGGCCCACACCCTTGTCGCTTAGCTGACCCAGCCTTGATCTTGTCTAGGCTGAAAGTGTCTCCCTCAGAGAAGCCACCCAGCTCAATCAGGCCCCGGGCTATAATCATTCGTGATATTCTTTGCTTTTCTACCACAGCAGGTAGGGAAATGTGTAATGATCTCATTTTTTAAAATGTTTTATTTATATATTTATTTATTTATTTTTGAGACAGAGTCTCACTCTGTGGCCCAGGCTGGAGTGGCACAATCCTGGCCCACTGCAACCTCAGCCTCATGAGTAGCTGCCAAGCCCAGCTAATTTTTGTATTTTTAGTGGAGATGAGGGTTTCGCCATGTTGGCCAGGCTGGTCTTGAACTCCTGACCTCAAGTGATCTATCCACTTCGGCCTCCCGAAGTGCTGAGATTACAGACATGAGCCACCGCACCTGGCCTGATCTTGTTTTTAGTGTAATTATTTACTTAAGATCTATTTACCTGACTAAACGATAAACCGAGTATGAAGCCAGGAACCAAGTATCCTACTTCACCACTAACAAATAGGATCTGAACTGCTGAATGATTCCATGATTTCTGGTCACTACTGGTGCTATACCTTTGTCTTGTTCGTTAGTCAGTGATCCTGCCTTATATTGGCAGTTCCTATGTTTATTACTATCTGGCATATACGTAACTCAAACCTAAAATCAGTCGTGGATGACCTCAGCCAATCCCTGGTCCTCACCAAACCTCACCTCAACCAATGGAGCTTCTGCTGCTGCCATCACCGTGTTAACACAGAACCCACAAGTTTAAAAACAGTATAAGGAAAGAAGTAATGAGAAGTAGGGTGGGCTTTGGAGAGCCAGCCCCAGGGAACAAGGTCCTCCTAGGGCTGTTCTGCCTCCAGGGTGATCCTACAGCCCCAACACAACTGCCCCTGCATGGTCTTAATCTTTTATTTTACTTTATCCTATATCCTAAATAATTTACCCTTGCTTGACTTAATATGCATTTAATAACTATTTTGTTTTAATAATGCAAATGCCTCTGGGAAGACTAAGGAAATTATCAGTTATGCACATGTTAGTATGAATTAGTTAAATCACAATACTTGCATACTAACATCTAACTGAGATCTGCTACGCAGAGGAAAGGAGTTTTACCGGGTTGGGGAAGCAGGGAGGAAGCAGCTGGTGCCTCTGGGAACCCCAGCAGGAAGGCACTGAAGAAGGGGTGAGCTTATCCAGAAAGGCAGAAGTGTTGGGATGCATGAGCCCCACACACTGGGTGCCAGAATGCAGGGATCCATCAGCCCCACATTGGGCACCAGAAGGTAGGGAGCCAGCCCTATATCACCCGTGGGTACCCTGAGTTCGGTGGTAACAAGGGCATGAGAAAAAGACAGATTAAGAGAGACAGTGGGACCAGGGGGCCATCATTTATTACTCTGGAGGAGGCAGGGAAGACCCTGAGCTCTGATCATTCACGCTATTGATTATAATCACTTTGATCTACAGGGTAGGGGTAGAGTAATGGTGGGGAGTGGGTGATGTGATGGTGGAGTAAATTAGTGAGCCAGAAGTGAATCAGTGAGGCAGAACTGGTGTGTCGTTCTAAGGATTGATAACAGTGGTGGTTTCAGAGTTTCACAGAGGAACATGTGGTTATCTTTAGCCAATTATCTATGTGCAGCTGATGGAATGCAGGCCTTACAAGAAGCCTACAAGTCTGGCTATGTCATAGTGTTACGAAGGGGTTTTACGTCCTTGAGCACAATGTTTATGGTCAGAGCCTAGGTCACCCTGCACTGGAACATGAGGCATGAGGAAGCCTTCCTCCTTAGAGGCCTGCTACAGCCTTTTGCAATTTGTTGTTCCTTGTTTATATGTTACTTATAACCAATTTATGTAGGCACTCTGTAAGTCCTTTCCCCTTTGCTGCTTTTCCCAACAGAAGAAAGTTTCCCCTGCTTTTCTTTTGTATCTCAACCCTAATAGGAGCCTTAGACATCAGGGTATGGATGAACCACACTAGGAATTGATGATGCCTCATGGGCTAACCTGGAAAATTAAGTGTCATTCATTACATTGTTGGGCGCTACATTGTAGGTTCCAGATTCAGCTTCCCAATCATTTTGAAATCAATCCATTCTTAATTGGGGCTGTACTTCCTTTGTCTTTTCCACAGGGAAAAACCTTGAACTAAGCCCATAATAAGTGTGCAGTAAACACCCGTTTACCCGATAAATTAACAGTGTGCAATCTCATCATCAAGTCAAGTGAATATGGTCCCTGAAGAGACACTGGCAAGACCGGTAGGACTAAGCTAAAATAAAGGTTTTTCTTGCTATAATATGGTTTGGAAGTTGGAGTGACTTGCACTTCAAATTATGTATACTTAAACCACTATTATGCACAGGACTATGTGGTCCTCAGAAAGAGTTTATAAAGATACAAACATTCCTATTAAAAAATATGTCAATTTTGTATCCAATTCCATCAAATTAAGGCATTTACAAGAATACACCAAGATAAAATACTC